CTACCGCTGTTCAATACCAATATCAGCAGCAACAGAAGTCATTTGTTTCAAACTCTCCCTCAGTACAACGGTTTGAACTTGCCATCATCAGCCCCAAGCACGGAAAACCGGCTAAAGCGCCAGCATTCCATCACAGATGATCGTGGCGTGTTATTATATCCATCGAAGAAAGACGTAAATTCCAATTGCAGTTTCAGTAACACCGCCAATTCATTCTTGAATCAGCAATTACTTCTGAGTAATCCTCGTTTTCATTTTCAAGAATAAAACCATATAAAAAAAAGAAAGAAGGAAAGAAAAGAAAAATTACGGAAGGTCGGACCTGCCAAGCCTTGGTCAAGCCGTTTCCTATGGGTCATAAGTTCATAACAAAAGATGGCAAAAATTTAATTACTGAAAGGAGTTTGATTATTTTTATATACAATCTGGCAATCTGGAATGGCATGCATGATGCATGGGAGATTGATCCTCGAAAACAATACAATGTTAATTGACATGGGTACAATTGGCAAATCAGATTTACTACTTGGTACGAATTATGAACATGAGAATTGATCTTGAGTTCTTTTTTCACAAGCGGAGGATATCTTCCCAATTAGTGTAATTACAATTCCCCGTCTCAATCAATATCTTTATGTAGGGTTTAGTATGTTGATTTTTGTTCAATTGGCAGATCAGATTTAGTACTTGATATGTTTGTCTTGAAAAAGTAAGGGTGCAAAAATAGTTTTTTGTTTTTAAATACAAAAACAACTCTAAAATGTATTATGTATGTTGTTTTTCAAGAATAAATTTAAAAAATAAAAAGCAAGTACAATATTTGGGTTAAATTATGTAAAACATCATACTGAACGTTCTTTATTTTTCAAGAATGATTTCCAAAAAAAATTCAAAAGCAAAAGTCACGTATAAAACAAAGTTAAAAATTCCACTACCACTTTCCACCACTACTAACACCATGACATTCTCGCCTCACCATCTCCACCATGGCCACCACACCACACGCCACCACCATCATCCCACTACCTCTCACCACTATTGTCATCGCCACAATTTAATTAAGGGTTGTTTGGTAATCACCTCGGTTTCAATGTTAAAAAAGTAAGACACAAGATAATGATGGTTAGGTAGGGGAGTTCCACGTTCCAAAATGATTGAGGCCAAGCTTATTAAGAAATGGACTACAAAATATTTTTTGAGCACAATTGATATTCTACACTAGATGGACAAAAAAAATAAAAGATAGTGGGGATTAGGAATGCACTCCATGGGTTAAACAAAGGCATGTGAGATAAATTTGCAAATGACACCTTCTAAGGAGGGGTTACAAACCCCTTTCGCATTTGTAGTCAAACTTTTAATAACCTAGTCTCAATCACTTGGACTTGAAAATCTCTTACCCATACATAGCCTAAAGAAATTAACACGTAATTTGATAACCATTTTGTTTTCACTTTGAAAACAAAAACTGAAAATTGAAAATGAAAATGAAAGTTAATTATTGAAAACCTAAAAAGTGTTGTAAAATTGTGAGAATGAATGCCCTAGTGTAATTGTTGTTATGTGATATTTTCAAAAGTTCAATAGTAGAGTAATTGTTGTTGTGTGAAGTTTTCAAAAACAGCAATCATTTCACTTTTTGGTTTGTCACGAATGTGGCTTTATATAAAGAGCACTCCGTGTATGATTACAATACACAGCAAAGAAAAGAAGTGAAAGTAATAATATCAGTATCCATCCTTTCCTCTTTTTCCTGCAATCGTTTTGTGTTATAGTTACGAAACTAAACAGTGTGATATTTTGCACCTGCGTCTCTCCTATCCCTAGCAAAGGTTATCTCTCTAATTTTTGCCTATTTATAACAAGTAATTAGCATGACTCTTTAACCTTAACCAGTTCTCATCTCTCTTCGCCGAAAAATGCTTCCTCTAAGGATTTTACTGTTCTTTTTCCTCCTATGCCTCACTTGCTTGATGTACCCTCACTAAGATCTGCTAGCACCATGTCTGCTCCTAGTTCTAAATATAACAATTACTTATGTTTTTTATTTCTTGTTTGGTGTAGCTCCTGACTATTAACCTAGTGTTTATTTATGTTAATTTTACTGCAATCAAAGATGGTGCGGTATAATCGCCCATCTTGAATTGCAAATTTAATTTTAATGCAATTTTAGGTGGCGCGGTATAATCGCCCACCCTGCTCTGCATATTTAAATGTTCCTGCTGCTTGAGTGGTGCTGTATAATTGCTCACCCTATGCTATATTGTTTCAATGAGAGTGGTGCGGTACAATCGCCCTCCTCATTAATCATGTAAATCTCGAGCTTGAAGTTGCAAGTCTTTACGCATCTCATTTTTCTTTCAGAAAAGAAAATGACGAACTTGGCAAAACTTGATTTTGTTGCCCTAGATATTACTAGGAAGAACTACCTTACTTGGGTAATGGATACCAAGATCCATCTGGAGGTAGGGAATTTTGGAGAAACTATCAAGGAGGAAAACAATGCATTCTCTCAAGATCGGGCAAATGCTATGATCTTTATCTGTCGCCACCTTGATGAAGGATTGAAGAGCGAGTACCTAACGGTTGAAGATCCATTAACCCTCTGGAAGGCATTGAGAAATAGATACAATTACCAAAAAACGGTGATTCTTCCAAGGGCTCGTTATGAGTGGACACACCTAAGGATCCAGGATTTCAAGTCAGTTGTTGAGTACAACTCTGCAATGTTCAGAATTAGCTCCCAGATGAAGCTTTGTGGGGAGACCATCATTGAGGAAGATATACTGGAAAAGTTTTTCAGCACCTTTCATGCCTCCAACATGCTCCTACAACATTAGTATAGAGAGCGAGGCTTTATTGAATACAACCACCTGATATCGGTGCTCCTTGTGTCTGAACAAAACAATGAGCTCCTAATGAAAAATCATCAGTCCCGACCTACTGGATCGACGTCATTCCCAGAAGTGAATGATGTTTCCCTTGAAGTGAATACCACATCCTCTCGTGGCAATAATTACAAACGAGAACGTGGCCACAGGCAAGGTCGGTGGAACGGAAAATGCAAGAATCATGGTGTCTAGTTTTACAACCAAGGTCCAAGGCATAATTCAGGCCCAAGCTTCAAAAATGTAAATCGCCAAAAAGGTAAAGGTCATATGAATAACACCCATAGAAATCCTGAAGGAGCCTATCATAGGTGTGGTGGCAATGGGCACTGGGCACGTACCTGACGTACCCCAAAACATCTGGTGGACCTGTATCAAGCTTCCCTAAAGGAGAAGGGTGTCGAAACCAATTTCCTCGACCAGGCTAAACTAATGGATATACCTGATCCAATGTTCGATGTATCAGGGCAATTGACCACAACCCACCTAGATGTCTTAGACTTCATCGTGGAAAATTTACACCAAAACATGTCTAACAGAACCTGAATGTTCTACTCATTGTGTATGGACAATTTTTTCTCCATTGCACTAACCATAATCTTGTTCCATTTTGTGACATCGACATGTCAAATTTGAACAAACCGACTTTACCCCTGTGGAAGTCTCTGGAAAAAAAATTGCCAGAAATGGGTCCAAGATGTGAAGCTCCACTCATTGTAAAAAGTCTTAAGGCTAACATTGAAACTGAGACGGATAACTCGGTTGGCAAATCTAACAAAGCAACCACCATGATCTTCATACGAAGGCATATATATGATACACTGCAAAAACCAAGTACATCATTGAACAGGATCCAAGAGCTTTATGGCTCGCTCTAGAAGAATGTTTTGATCATCAAAAAGATATCTTCTTACTTGAAGCAAGACATGACTGACAGCATTTACGCTTTCAAGACTATAACTCTATGAATAAACACAATTCTGAAGTTTGTCAAATCCGATCATTTCTCAAGTTCTACAAATAAGGCTTAATTGAACAAGATCTCGAGAAGATCTATTCAACTTCTCATGCCACCAGTATTGTCCTACAGCAACAACTTTTCATGGCACGGAAAGTTAGAAATTTTCTGATTTGATCCTTGTCTTATTACTTGCTGAAAAGAAAAATCAATTGTTGATGAAAATCATCAAGTTAGACCTAAAGACTCGACCGCTATGCTTAACACACATGACAACACAAATCGAGGGCAAAACTAACACTCTAGGCGTGGTAGGCACTACAAGGGTTCAAACCCTAATTCGAAGACCAAGGTCGACAAAGCAATGGCCAATTTAAGGGAGGAAACAAACCTCGAAGTGCGACAACCTTCAAGAATAAAGGTAAAGCACCCGTCACCATGGTAGCAGATATGTGCTACCGTTATGGTTCCAAGAGCCATTGGTTGCGCGTTTGTTGAGCTTTCACTCATGGTGTAGTTAAGTATCATTCACGTGGTCAGAAGATTGAGACCAATTTTGCTCAAGTGGAGAATCCCAAAGATACTATCATGTAGATTTCTAACTTTCAGGATGTATTTGCCCAATGGAAGATTAGATTTTTAGACATGGGCCTATATGTTGGCCAAATTCTCCCTCTTGGTGAATTCTATATGTTTTTGTGGTTTAAGTTTTGAACATTCTCCTTTGTTTTGATTATTTGTTTGGTGTTTGTTTTAAGTTTTTGGATATTAATTTATAGATATTGTTTCGCGGATGATTAATTGAAGGAATAAATTTTACTTTTGTGTTTTTTAATTGTGTTAGTTGAAGTTAAGTTAAGGACATGTATCACTCAATTAGACAAGGCATAAAGTGGTCATAGACAGTTTTGGATGTAAAAGATTTTGACTCAAAATTTTAAATCAAATAATATGTCACCGATAAGAAATAAAGACGTTAATTAACAGTTAATTAACAATTAAATCATAAAAACCACATCATTATTTTTTTTTTAATTTAAAATTTTAGTGTTCTTAACATTAAAAATAAATAAAAAATTATGACTCTCCACTGCTTGAAAACATGAAGGCAGATCATAAAGGGAGAAGTCCCCCAGAAGATACCCACAGAAAAAAATCAGAGCATTGAGCAATGGAATTCCCAAATCAAAGAAACCACCATCACCGTCATCATGATCAGAGGGGCGAGGAAGAAAGAGAGAATTACCCACCACCGGGATCTAGGCTGTCTCCTTTTGATCAACCTCCACCTCCTCCAAGACCTTCCTACTATGGAGAGGATCAACATCCACCACCACCACGTTCCTACTACAGAGAAGATCAACCACCACCGGATTCACACTACGAAGCAGATAGACCACCACTGACCCGTGTGAGCCATGTGTCCCACTCTTCCCATGGTTTTGCACCTCCAAGTCCACCCTCCCAACCCCAAGGCTTTCTCCACCACCCACCACCAGTGCAGAATTACAACTACCCATCGTCACAAGCTACTCCAAGTCCACCGCCTGTTACCGTGCACCATGTTGCTCACCAAGTTCACCATGAATCCCCTGCTACTCAGTTTGGAACTGAAACCCGTCAGACTTCTCATTTGCCCTCTTCCTCTCCCAAAAACTCTTACCTCTCGAACAAGCCCACTTTCAGAATCTTCTCAAAGGCCGATCCCAATTTCTCTCTCAGCATCAGAGAGGGCAAGGTCATTCTTGCCCGATCCCAACCAACCGATGACTTCCAGGTCTCTAGCCTCTCTCTCCTTCCCTCCATTTGATTTAATTATTTTCTCCCTTGCGTGTGAATGTGATTGGATTTGCTAATTCTTGTGGGATTGGATTGGATTGCAGCGGTGGTACAAAGACGAGAAGTACAGTACACAGGTGAAGGACGAAGAGCGCTTCCCTTCCTTTGCTCTCATCAACAAAGCCGCTGGCCACGCCCTGAAGCATTCCATCGGAGCCACTCAGCCTGTATGGTTCTTGTTTCCAAAACTCTATAATTTGCTGAATCCGTGTATTTTGTTTGCCATTGCTAATAGTAACATTGCAGGTCTAGCAGTTGTTAATATGTTACAAACTTGGACAGTTGTGGAGTTCAAAGCCTTTATCTTTAAGTTTTTTCTTTTAATGCTCAACATTCTTTCTTTGATTGGTATATATGCCTTGCTCTGTGTTTGAGACTTGCAAAAGTACAAATTTCTATGAAAAAGTCTCTTCACAAATACCCCTAGTCTTGTGCACATGCAAATTATATTCCTTGTGATTCTAAATTTTTCATTGCTTTTCGTGGAGCCTAAAGATGCTATGAGTTTTAAACAATCAATAGTAAATCTGTCTTGTTTCATCTTGCAGGTGCAGTTGAGGCCTTATAATCCCGATGATCTTGATGAGTCTCTACTGTGGACTGAGAGTGCAGACTTAGGTGACGGTTTCAGAACTGTTAGGATGGTTAATAACATTCACCTTAATCTGGATGCTTATCATGGTGACAAGAAATCTGGGGGTGTTCATGATGGCACTACCATAGTTCTGTGGAATAAAAATAAAGGAGATAACCAGAGATGGAAGATTGTACCCAACTGTAAGTTGTCTACATATAACTCGAAAGACCAAGCAATTTCCTTGCAGATTTTTCATTTGCTTACTTCCATCTTTGGATTTCTTAATGGTTTTCCCGAGCAATGTTATCTCCCATTAAGTCATAAGATTCCTAATAACTAATTTCTTTCCCTTTTAATGATGCTAAATGCAGGATCCTTTTGCAGTAATGCTGCTATGAGTTATTGCAACATCACGTGCTTAAAAAAAGTGTTAAAGTTTGGAAGACTCCTAGTTCTCATGGTGAGGTATTTGAGTTTTAAGTTTATCAGTGTGAAACTATTAATGTGTGTTTAAGTATCAAACTGTCAACTACTACTGCTGTGGCTCATATTTATAATATGTTATCGAAAATAGAGAGTTGATTATGTATTTATAATCTATCGAAATAATTATCTACTAATTTTCAACAATTTGTGCAATGCCTAAAGTTTTTCGCTGTCATTATTACTTGTTTCTTTACTTAAGATGCTTTTAGTTACACCTCATAGGTATCAATGATAGAGGCATAGGTTGAGTGTAGCGCGTAAAAGATAAGTATTGAATTCTTGAGGTGCGATTGCACTTGATTATGGATCACACTATAACAAATGTTCCTTGGGCCCTCCCAAGTGCATGTGCTTGGGTTGCCTAAATCCTTCCTAAACCAATGGTTCCCAAGGTTCGGTTGAACCACAACAAACAAGGTCTTGTGACTGGAACAGTTTGGGTTAGGAGCTCATGCAGGCAGACTGTTGAAATTTTCAGCAAATGGGTAGTGAAGGTACGGGGCTCATGAGATTTTATTGAAATTTGATGCTTACCCAATTAGGTTAGTAAATTTTTCTGTTTATGGTTTTAGAGTCTCTAACGTATGAGAAATTATGGTGTTGAATCAAGAAAGATGATCTTTCAATTACTGAGTGTCGGGGTCTGCCCCTTCTTTGAATTCTTTTCCTTTTGAAGTTAATGTAGTAGAAAATGTCATGAGATGAAACCATGCTCTGGAATGTGTTCGTTCGCTGTTTTACCTGAAAATCTATCTTGGTTACATGGTACATTTTGAAAAACACTACAGAGCGATCTGCCTCTCCTAATTCTGTCTTTTGAATTGGGATAACGTACGGAAGACCGACTGGTGAGCTCTATTGTCATATGATATGCATGTAAAAAGCCTCCTACTTGACCAGAGTCGGGTCCAAAGCAATCTTGTTTATTCATAATTTAGCAGCCACCATTAGTCCCTGTGTGTGGTTACACTTACAGCTTGGCCAGAGTCGGGTTCAAAGCAATCTTGTTTATTCATAATTTAGCGGCCACCATTAGTCCCTGTGTGCGGTTACACTTACAGCTACGAGCATCATCTATTTGTACATGAATGAATCCCAGAAAAAGATGCCTAAAACGAAAGGATGGATAAGTTGGAGTGTTCGTTTACCCGTTACGAATTCGGACCCATACATGGCATGATCCATATCGGACCTATATATCGGTCTGGATGTGGACTTTGGTTAGAATCGTTAGATATAGTTAAACTTGATGGCATTTGCTATTTCTCTTCTCTGTAATGTTGGAACAAGTCGTAAAATGGATTCACCCCTACTCACTAAAACGAGCACGCTAGAATTCTAAAGAATTGATGCATTTGTTTCATCCAACTATCTCGGAATCGACTAGCTTTAGAGATTAAGTTACTAGCTTAGCTTGGACTAAGCAAAATAAGAATAATAAAATATTTGGTGTAGTTCCAAACTAGAACTTGAATTAAAATGTTTTAGACGCAATAGTTCTGTTTATAGGACAAGAAGATATTAAGAAACAACTGCAACGCCAAATTGAACACGAGATTTTCAAGGCTAACTACTTTGAAATTTCATTAATCCTAGCAGCATTCCTCATTGCTAAATCAATCAAGGAGGCCACAAAACAGACACAAGCAACTAAAATCAACATAAACACCCCAAAATATTTATTACAAATAGAACAAAGCAATGAAATTACATAAGATATAAGAAAAACAAGGAAAAAATTGCAATCACTAAGAAAATGTAGGAAAATAATAGAGACCAGAATCTCGAACTTTAACCAAGCTCCATAGTTTCCCAATTTCTAGGTTTGCAATCGAAAATCCATGTGCTTGATAACAAACTACAGCAAGCACATAACAAACACAAAAGATTCAATCTTCTCTTAGTTTTCCTACCAACCAAACAAAATTAAACAAAAAAAAAATTAGAGGAAATGAAAGAAATTAACCTCCAGAACTCCTAGACAGTACTAAACAGGAGGATGGCAAGAGCGGGATCTTCCTCGGAGGTTTGTACCACAATCGTCATTGTTGGAGCTCTTCGCTGCTGCACTTTAGTTGAGACGTTGAGAATATCACCGAAGATCTCTCAGATTTGAGACAGAGCTCGTGGGTTCTCGAATTGAGGTTTGAATATGAGGTCTCATTCATGGTTCGCGGCAAAGAGAGAAAGTGTGTGGTGGTGGTCAGGCAGTGTTATCTCTTTAGAGTTGGCGAGTGTAAGCGATGGTGGTTCTCAATCTTCGTGAGAACAAAGAGCAAAGAAAGGACACGAGCAGAAGAAGCGAAGCGAAGGTCTTAATAGTCCCTTGGTTTTTAGATGGTCTTGCTAAGATGTTCTAGCGAGGGAGTTAGTCGATGTGAGTGCCCTTAGATCCCTTTAAACTTAATTCATGCACGTAACAAATATGGGATTACACTAATAAGTAGTCTAGTCCATTTTAGTGAAATTCAGCAAGGCCAAACAAATGCACCTTAAAGGCTTGCTATACAAGCCCTAGCAGCCCAACCTTATAAGGCAACTCTAATTCACATGCCCATCTGCCACTAGATATTTGAAATTTTGTTGCTAAGTCGTCGAAACACCTAGAAGGAGGGAACGACAATCCTTCCTCCGCTGTTATAAAACAATTGTTGTGGCCTATATTAACTGACAGGGGAATGGGTCGGCGGCACAGAGAAATAATAGAGAGACATATATGTTTGTAGGGTTGTGTATAGGAATGTGTGCGTTATTCCCCCTGCGCAGTGCCTTTATTTATAGTAATAGGGGAAAGAATAAATCTTTCATCCCCAAGGAATACAAGTCCATATAAGAAAGAATAACTATAATCAAATCTAATATAGGATTTACACAATCACACTTAAACTAGAAGTTTACAATACTCCCCCTTAAGTGTGTAAATACTCAAGTCGATTTGGCATCATGTAGAGGTTGAGGAAGTCGACTTGTTAGCACTGATTCTGGAAACACGTTATTCTCAATAAGGTAGGAACTTGCATAAGGAAGTAAGTCTCACAAAAAACCCTATGGCGATGGCAAAAACCTAGTAGGGATAAAATCCATAGTCTAAGGTAAAATGCAAGAGAAATGCAAAATTAAATAAAATGTCTATGGGATGTCATCAGGGATATGATCAAACCAAGGTGGGTGCCTCATTAAAACCTAGTTAGGTAGCAAAAAACCAGTGGGAAAAATGCTCCTAATTGTATAGAAAAAGAGTTCATTAAGATCAAGCAAGTATTCTTCAAGATACTTCCCCTAAGTTTGACACAATTCCAAATAGACCTAGCAATGTTACAACTTAGAAATTTTACGCATACCAATTCCTTGAATAAGCTTCTAAAACATCGCCTTCAGTAGTGATTTGGTAAAGAGGTTGGCCAGATTGTCTTGTAAACGGATTTGCATGACTTCAATCTTCTGATGCTCTTATTGTTGATGTGAGAAGAAGAACACCAGCGCAATGTACTTGGTGTTGTCTCCTTTGATGTAACCCTTCTTGAGCTGTTCGATGCATGCTGCGTTATCTTCATAGATCTTCGTCGGGACATCAACGACGGGGTAAAGATCGCAGGAGCTTCAAATATGGCCCACAACTGCTCTCAACCAAAAGCATTCCCAAGTTGCTTCATGTAAGGCGAGAATTTCAGCATGGTTTAGTTTACCTCCAAGAGATTGCAGTGCCTCCAACGATAAAAACATAACTCGTTTAAGAGCGCACCTTGTGCAGATCAGATAAATATCATTCATCAGCATAACCAATAAGGTGAGAATGCGGCATCACTCAAGGATCCATAGGGATAGAACAAGCCCAAATCCGTAGTACCCTTAAGGTAACGAAAGATGTCTTTAACACCAGTCCAATGTCTGCATATTAATGCATTACTATATCTTGCCAAAAGATTAACAGCGAAGGAGATGTCGGGTCTAGTGCATTGAGCTAAGTACAATAAAGCGCCTATCGCACCTAGATAAGGAACTTTAGGCTCCAAAATCTCTTCCTCATTCTCCTTCGGACGGGAGGGATCTTGTTTTCCATCCAAACGGTGCTCTATCTTGAGACCGAGACAGTATCGAGTATTTCCTAGATCTTTCATCTCAAATTTCGACTTCAGGTCCGCGGCAGTTCTCGCGAGCTCTTCAGGAGTTCTAATAAGGTTCATGTCATCAACATATACTGCAATTATCACAAAACCGAAATATGACTTCTTAATGAACACACAAGGGCATAATTCGTTGTTCACATATCTCTGGCTTGTCAAATACTCACTCAAATGGTTGTACCACATTCTTCCGAATTGCTTCAAATTGTATAGTGAACGCTTCAACCGAGTTGAGAGCGTGTTTCGAGGTTTGGAAATATTTGATCCAATCAATGTAAGTCATTCGGGAACTTTCATATAATTTTCTGTATCAAGATCCCCATAGAGATACGTAGTTACTACGTTTATCAGCTGCATACTCAGTTTTTCAGACACTACTAAACTAATAAGGTAACGAAAAGTAATCACATCCATAACGGGTGAATAAGTTTCGTCATAGTCAATCCCGGGGCGTCATGAGAAGCCTTGCACAACAAGATAAGCTTTGTAACGCATAATTTAGTTCTTTTCATTACACTTCTGAATGAAAACCCACTTGTAGCCAACGAGCTTCACATATGGAGGAATGGAAGCTACAGGTCCAAACACCTTACGTTTCGAAAGCAAATCGAGTTCGACTTGGATTACTTGTTTCTAGTTTGACCAATCAGTTCTACATCAACATTCATCAACAAAACAGGGTTCAATGTCATTGCTTAATATGATCTCAGTAGCTACTGCATATGCTAATGCATTGTCAACGATCATCTCATTCTACACCATATATCATCTAAGCTAGCATAATAGACCGAAATCTCAGGATTTTCGAGATGTGGATTCGTCTCTTCAAGGACACTTTCATAATCTAGAATTTCCTCATGAGTTGGATAGAATAAGTAAATGACAGTCGGATTCATGGTAGGCTTTTCAGGTGCCTGTGCAGTGGGTTTCCTCTTCTGGGATTGTGAATCCTTTGAACCAAGAGGTCTGCCATGCTTATGTGTAGGGGTAAATGATTGGCTAGCCGCTAATGTACGTAGTTCGCCAAAGTTGGCATCCCAGGCATCTAGGA